CTTGCTGTTGTCATCTGAATGACGTTATAATGCCAATACTTGCTGTTGTCATCTGAATAAGGGAAAAGTGCCAAGCCTTACCGTTGTCTTCTGAATAACGTTATTATGCCAAGCCTTGCTGTGACCATCTGAGAAAGGTTATAATTAGACTTGCTGTGGTCACCTGAATAAGGTTATAGTGACTAGACTTGTGGTCATCAATGAAACATACCAACACACCATGCAGTCTCCTTCTCACAGAGCATCCAGTCTCCTTCTCACAGACCATCCAGTCTCCTTCTCACACACCTTCCGGTCTCCTTCTCACACACCATCTGGCCTCCTTCTTACACACCATCCAGTCTCCTTCTTACACACCATCCAGTCTCCTTCTCACAGACCATCCAGTCTCCTTCTCACAGACCCACTCAACTCTTTCTCACACACCATCCAGTCTCCTTCTCACAGACCATCATGTCGCCTTCTCACAGACCATCCAGTCTCCTTCTAACAGACCCACTCAACTCTTTCTCACACACCATCCAGTCTCCTTCTCACAGACCATCCAGTCTCCTTCTCAGAGACCATCCAGTCTCCTTCTCACAAACCCACTCAACTCTTTCACACAGACCATCCAGTCTCCTTCTCACAGACCATCCAGTCTCCTTCTCACAGAGCATCCAGCTCCTTCTCACAGACCACCCAGTCTCCTTCTCACAGACCCACTCAACTCTTTCTCACACACCATCCAGTCTCCTTCTCAGAGACCATCCAGTCTCCTTCTCACAAACCCACTCAACTCTTTCACACAGACCATCCAGTCTCCTTCTCACAGACCATCCAGTCTCCTTCTCACAGAGCATCCAGCTCCTTCTCACACACCATCCAGTCTCCTTCTCACACACCATCCAGTCTCCTAACAGACCATCCAGTCTCCTTCTCACAGACCCACTCAACTCTTTCTCACACACCATCCAGTCTCCTTCTCACAGACCATCCAGTCGCCTTCTCACAGACCATCCAGTCTCCTTCTAACAGACCATCCAGTCTCCTTCTCACAAACCCACTCAACTCTTTCTCACAGACCATCCAGTCTCCTTCTCACACACCATCCAGTCTCCTTCTCACAGATCATCCAGTCTCCTTCTCACAGACCATCCAGTCTCCCTCTCACAGACCCACTCAACTCTTTCTCACAGACCATCCAGTCTCCTTCTCACACACCATCCAGTCTCCTTCTCACAGACCATCATGTCGCCTTCTCACAGACCATCCAGTCTCCTTCTCACAGACCCACTCAACTCTTTCTCACACACCATCCAGTCTCCTCACAGACCATCCAGTCTCCTTCTCAGAGACCATCCAGTCTCCTTCTCACAAACCCACTCAACTCTTTCACACAGACCATCCAGTCTCCTTCTCACAGACCATCCAGTCTCCTTCTCACAGAGCATCCAGCTCCTTCTCACAGACCACCCAGTCTCCTTCTCACAGACCCACTCAACTCTTTCTCACACACCATCCAGTCTCCTTCTCAGAGACCATCCAGTCTCCTTCTCACAAACCCACTCAACTCTTTCACACAGACCATCCAGTCTCCTTCTCACAGACCATCCAGTCTCCTTCTCACAGAGCATCCAGCTCCTTCTCACAGACCATCCAGTCTCCTTCTCACAGACCTACTCAACTCTTTCTCACAGACCATCCAGTCTCCTTCTCACAGACCATCCAGTCGCCTTCTCACAGACCATCCAGTCTCCTTCTTACAGACCCACTCAACTCTTTCTCACACACCATCCAGTCTCCTTCTCACAGACCATCCAGTCTCCTTCTCACAGACCATCCAGTCTCCTTCTCACACACCATACATTTCCCTTCTCACAGACCCACCCATCTCCTTCTCACAGGCCACCAATGATTGTCCCTTACTTCTTTTTATAATGGCTAAAACAATGTGCAACCTTAGACCTAGCCATCGCAGAAATAGAAGAAGTGTTAGGAGCTGACCCTGTGAATGTATTGGTTAACTAGCGCAGGCTGTCTCTACATGTGCTCCCACTCTCTATGAAGGAAGTGCAGTGTAAGGAGACACACTTACATGAAGATACACACTGAAACCCAGGTCTCTATCTGACCCTGCGGTGGCTGTAATCGTTGCTGTCACAGTGGAGCTGTCAGCATCACTGACGATGCACATTCCAGCTGATAACCTCCTCATCAGTTCAATTATTTCCGATAATTAGATCAGGTCACAGTTTATATGCTTCAGGATTAACATTTACATATTCATTCAACAAACTGGGACAAGTGATGACAAGTGACAACCACTAGACCAAAGTATTCCATTATATGAAATAAATTAAATCAGTGTATTGAATAAATGCAACAGAAAATCTTGATGAAGCAGGTCAATTTATGTACTACTCAAAAGAGGTGAGGTGAGGTGAAATGGGGTTTAACGTCGCGTCCAAGATTACTGCACTTATATAGCAACGTGCATGTACGTGTGTGTGTTTGTACTAGTCCGGACTGATGCCGATTTATAGTGCTGGCTCACTGAGATACCATGCCGCAGTTTAACATGAATACCCCACTCAGACACAGTATACTGACTCCGAGCCGACCAGTCCTTGTTTTAGCCCCTTAATGCTGAGCGCCAGACAGGGTAACAACAAGTACCATCTTCTAACGTCTTTTGGTATGACGCGGTCAGGGATCGAACCCCGGACCTTTAGCTCTCCGGGCGGACGCTCTACCACTAGACCACGGAGGCGGTCCTACTCAAAAGAAGTTAATGAACACCCGATTCTTTCATATTACTATAGTTAATCTGTCATGGCATGACATGATTTGTATAATCCTTTATAAATAAAAAATCCCAATCATTTATACAGCTGACCTTTTATTTTACAACAACGAAAAGAACAGCAGCATGTGATGTTTAACTATTGCTTTTAACCATCATGTACTCTACCACCACACCTATTTAGTAATGACATGATTATCTCCCTTTGCTCATAGGTCTTAGAACTCTTGTCCACTTGAACAGTCAGTTTTTGTGTTTGATTTTAATCAACTTAGAATTGCGTACATTTGTTAAGACAGTAATGGTGCATCATCACCATCATTATTATCATCATCATCATCGTCAGACCACCTCTGTGGTCTAGTGATAGACCATCTGCTAGACGGAGTGAAGAGGTCAGGGGTCAAAGATATTAAAGATGGTATTTGTTGTTACCCTGCCTGGCGCCCGGCATTAAGAGGATAAAAAAAGAACTGGTCGGCTCGGAGATGGCATACTGTGTCATCATCTTTATCATCATCATCATCATCATCATCATCATCATTGTCATCATTATCTTTATCATCATCATCATCATCATCATCATCATCGTTGTCATCATCATCATCATCATTATCGTCATCTCCTGCATCTTTTAATCAGCGCCCAGATCCCACACATGTGGCATCTTTATGAGCCTGCACCCCCTACAACAGGGATCACAGTGATTACCTTGTGAGTTCAAGAGACACAAGTGAGAACCAGCTTCCCAGTGACTCATATATCCTGACAACAATACTGTATTCATCTTGTGTTCTAGTAGACCCGTGCTGAGCCTGGGATGTTGACACGCTCATGTCACACCTTGTATTACACCACCGACAGCAGGGGACATTAAATCAACCCCTGTACAGTACCAGAGAATGTACCGGTAATAGTTTTGTATCTTCTGCACATCATGTCGGATGTGGGAATCTTTGAGGAAGGAAGATCAACAAAACTGTCACCTTTTTCAATCCAATTAGGACAGAGGGATCGGTCATTTATTATGATTTATGCGTGCAAGGAGAAAATGAATTATGCGGAGAGTCATAAAAAAACAAAATATTCAGATCTTAACTGTTACAGTATTTATTTTATTTTATACAGGAAAATAGTTTAGGATCACAAGAAAGGCCATTGACAAAATATAAATACAAATAAGCGAGGTTCACCAATGCAAAATGAAATGTACATGGAGGGAGGGTCATATCTTTTTAGTGTTCACAGGCCCCATTACCAACTCCTCTGTAATTAATGAATGGTCCCTTATCAGGTTTTAAAAAAAAGTGATGAAATACAATTTTTATCTGACAATATAAATCAATTTTAAAAGTGAAAAAAAGTCTTTATGCCAGAATGACTTTCTTGAAATTAGGACTTTTACAATATAGATGATTATTTGTAAAGTACAAAATATGATTTTTTTATCAAAATATAATGGGAAGTTCATGGAAATGTATTTTTTGCCAGGTCACTTTGATGAGATAAACATAATACAACATAACAATAATATACTCTCCTAAAAAAGCAGGGAATCATGTAATATAACTGTTATGATCAGTTGTGAGAAGAAAGATCAGCTTTGAAAAATAACTGCCGGAGAGAGAACAGTTTTGGAACCAAAGCTTAACACCTCAACACACCATGACATTGCACATGGACCAAGCAATTCCTTTGTGTGTAGGGGGAGTCATTCTTGATTTAGAAACTTCAGTGAAAGGTCGTCAAATATCTCGGAGCCATTAGTATTACTGATACTATTGTGGAGGGAGAGATGAAGGTAGGTAGGTAGGGTGGTAGGTAGGGAGAGGGGAGCACATTCAACATGTATTGAATGTGAGATCATTCACAGGTACCCAACTCTCCCATGTTACTCATGTACCGTAAATGACATGTAAAAATGGACATTACAAAAACAAGTAATAAGAGTAAATAGTTATACACATAGATGGTGCTCAAGGTAGTTGAGGTCAGGTAGCTAGGACAGTTCACCAGGTGAGAAAATCGCATTTCCAATTACTCATCTGTGGAGAATCATTCAACAGACTTTATCGATAATTACAGGGTACTACTGATATTCTAAATGTTCCTTCCTGCTTCAGCTGTTTTCTCAGCTCTGACTTCACCCAGTGTGGGGTCCAATGTCAGCCGTCTCCAGGCAGGTGACAGAGACAGGGGGCTTATACATAGGACCATGACAGGGGACAGAGACAGGAGACAGAGACAGGGAACAGAGACAGGGGACAGGGACAGGGGACAGAGACAGGGGACAGGGGACAGAGTCAGAGACAGGGGACAGAGGCAGGGGACAGAGACAGGGGACAGAGGCAGGGGACAGAGACAGAAGCAGGGGACAGAGACAGGGGACAGAGGCAGGGGACAGAGACAGAAACAGGGGACAGAGACAGAGGCAGGGGACAGAGACAGGGGACAGAGACAGAAACAGGGGACAGAGGCAGGGGACAGAGGCAGGGGACAGAGACAGAAGCAGGGGACAGACAGGGGACAGAGACAGAAACAGGGGACAGAGGCAGGGACAAGGGACAGAGACAGAGGCAGGGGACAGAGACAGGGGACAGAGACAGGGGACAGAGACAGGGGACAGAGACAGAAACAGGGGACAGAGGCAGAAGCAGGGGACAGAGACAGGGGACAGAGACAGGGGACAGGGACAGGGGACAGAGACAGGGGACAGGGGACAGAGACAGGGGACAGAGGCAGGGGACAGGGGACAGAGACAGAGACAGGGGACAGAAACAGGGGACAGAGGCAGGGGACAGAGACAGGGGACAGAGGCAGGGGACAGAGACAGAAGCAGGGGACAGAGACAGGGGACAGACAGGGGACAGAGACAAAACAGGGGACAGAGGCAGGGACAGGGGACAGAGACAGGGGACAGACAGGGGACAGAGACAGAAACAGGGGACAGAGGCAGAAGCAGGGGACAGAGACAGGGGACAGAGACAGAAACAGGGGACAGAGACAGGGGACAGAGACAGGGGACAGACAGGGGACAGAGACAGAAACAGGGGACAGAGGCAGAAGCAGGGGACAGAGACAGGGGACAGAGACAGGGGACAGGGACAGGGGACAGAGACAGGGGACAGGGGACAGAGACAGAGACAGGGGACAGAGGCAGGGGACAGAGACAGGGGACAGAGACAGGGGACAGAGGCAGAAACAGGGGACAGAGGCAGGGGACAGAGACAGGGGACGGGGACAGGGGACAGAGACAGGGGACAGAGACAGAGACAGGGGACAGAGGCAGGGGACAGAGGCAGGGGACAGAGGCAGGGGACAGAGACAGGGGACAGAGACAGAAACAGGGGACAGAGGCAGGGGACAGAGACAGGGGACAGAGACAGGGGACAGAGACAGAAACAGGGGACAGAGGCAGGGGACAGAGACAGGGGACAGAGGCAGGGGACAGAGACTGAAACAGGGGACAGAGACAGGGGACAGAGGCAGGGACAGGGGACAGAGACAGAAACAGGGGACAGGGACAGAGACAGAAACAGGGGACAGAGGCAGAAACAGGGGACAGAGGCAGAAACAGGGGACAGAGGCAGGGGACAGAGACAGAAGCAGGGGACAGAGACAGGGGACAGAGACAGGGGACAGAGGCAGGGGACAGAGGCAGGGGACAGAGACAGGGGACAGAGACAGAAACAGGGGACAGAGGCAGGGGACAGAGGCAGGGGACAGAGGCAGGGACAGGGGACAGAGACAGAGACAGGGGACAGAGACAGGGGACGGGACAGAGACAGAAACAGGGGACAGAGGCAGGGGACAGAGGCAGAAACAGGGGACAGAGGCAGGGGACAGAGGCAGGGGACAGAGGCAGGGAACAGGGGACAGAGGCAGGGGACAGAGGCAGGGGACAGAGACAGAAACAGGGGAGAGAGGCAGGGGACAGAGGCAGGGGACAGAGGCAGGGGACAGAGACAGGGGACAGACAGGGGACAGAGGCAGGGACAGGGGACAGAGACAGAAACAGGGGACAGAGGCAGGGGATAGAGGCAGGGGACAGAGACAGGGGACAGAGACAGGGGACAGAGGCAGGGGACAGAGACAGGGGACAGAAACAGGGGACAGAGCCAGGGACAGGGGACAGAGGCAGGGGACAGAGACAGGGGACAGAGGCAGGGGACAGAGACAGAAACAGGGGACAGAGGCAGGGGACAGAGACAGAAACAGGGGACAGAAAAGGACAGAGGCAGGGGACAGAGACAGGGGACAGAGACAGGGGACAGAGACAGGGGACAGAGGCAGGGGACAGAGACAGGGGACAGAGACAGGGGACACAGACAGGCGACACAGACAGGGGACACAGACAGGGGACAGAGGCAGGGGACAGAGACAGGGGACAGAGAGGACAGAGACTGGGGTCAGATGCAGGGGACAGAGGCAGGGGACAGAGACAGAAACAGGGGACAGAAACAGGGGACAGAGGCAGGGGACAGAGGCAGGGGACAGAGACAGAGACAGAGAGGACAGAGGCAGGGTACAGAGACAGAGACAGAGAGGACAGAGACTGGGGTCAGATGCACATGGGACAAGGACAGAAACTTCAAAGAGATCTGTGGGCAGAACAGCAGAAGGGGACACAGGACTATATCACTGTGATAATGTGGCTGCTTGCTGAGGCTATAATTTTGAGGGCTCCACTTCACACCTGACACACATGACACAATACGATACTTGTGTCTTCCATTTATAGTGCAATCTGCCTCATTATTGCTGAAGATCCCCTGTCAGGGTTACAATAAGAAATGGTCAATTGTCTCACCCGAGTCAGGAAATGGCTACCCATGAGTTGTTTTGATGGGATGTAGTTAGTGCACTCTAATCCCTTAAGTAGGCCTCCCTGTCACTCTTATTTTGCATCATGTGGTTTGAAGGGTAATTGAGGAAACTTATGTATTGTATGTCAGTTAATTAAAAGATCAAAGCATTGTGGGTGGAAAATGTTAAATGTGTTCTGCATCCACTGGATAAACGGGTAAAATGTAACAAAAATGACTATATTGTCAGGTTTAATTTTGAGTTTTACTGGATTAACAGGTGAAAAAAACAATAAATATTAAAACTAATTTTTTTCTTCTTGTATTAGCTTAACTATACAAGGAATAAAACACAGCATTTAATATTTTGGTCCTTTGCAAACTTTAGGGTCATAAAATATACTGCTCCAGCACAACAAGAAAAAACAATGTATAACGTGATGTGTCAGGATAGGGTAAGGCTGAGTTTGAGCAGGCTTGGGGTGGAATGTAAATGTAATTGTAAATTCACAGTACAGAGTTACCTACCTTAGTTGTACCAGAATCCTAGGATTGTGGATTAAAATAATCTCAGATCTGCCCTGATTATGAGTATTTGTTTATAATCAGAGAGGTAATCATCTAAGAGCTGCATCACTTCAACTTGGGCATTATTCCCACATTGTTTGTTTGTGTGTTTGTTTGTTTGGTAGGCATTTCTTAGAAGTTCATGGATGACAACTAAGTACTGTTTGATTGGCATTCTAGAAGTTTGTGAGTAAGTGAGAAAATGTACAACTTTGTGGATAACAACTTCTGGTTTATTGCATATAGTGATGTTTCAATGTAGATTCTAATCAAGCAATAGACTATTTTAATTAGGATCTAAACAGCTTGTCACAACTGTTTATCCCTTTTAATCCTTATCCTTACTGTGCATCTGGCTTCATTACCTGTGTGCCATTTGTTATCCTTACTGTATATCTGGCTTCATTACCTGTGTGCTTCATTACCTGTGTGCTTCATTACCTGTGTGGTATTTGTTATCCTTACTGTATATCTGGCTTCATTACCTGTGTGCTTCATTACTTGTGTGCTTCATTACCTGTGTGCTTCATTACCTGTGTGCTTCATTACCTGTGTGCTTCATTACCTGTGTGCTTCATTACCTGTGTGCTATTTGTTATCCTTACTGTAAATCTGGCTTCATTACCTGTGTGCTTCATTACCTGTGTGCTTCATTACCTGTGTGCTTTTTGTTAAACTTACTGTAATTCTGGCTTCATTACCTGTGTGCTTCATTACCTGTGTGCTTCATTACCTGTGTGCTTCATTACCTGTGTGCCATATTTTTTATTCTTACTGGGTACTGTACATTTGGCTTCATCATATTATCTGTATGTCAGCCCGTGAAGATCCAGGGTAGAATAGGTCTTCAGCACCCCATGCTTGCTGTAAAAGGCGACTACGCTTGTCGTAAAAGGCGACTAACGGGATCAGGTGGTCAGGGTCGCTGACTTGGTTGATGCATGTCATCGGTCCCAACTGCGTGAATCGATGCTCATGTTGTCAATCACTGGATTGTCTGGTCCAGACTCGATTATTTACAGACCGCCGTCATATAGCTGGAATATTGCTGAGTGCGGCGTTAAACAACAAACCAAACCAAACCAAAATCTGTATGTCAATCTGCTGCTTACCACAACATGTCATACTGTTAACCCTTTACCTTCCATATATATTCTGTACCATTAGTCAGACTTGCTTGATACAGTATAATAAAGAAATTGTTTAACACCATACTCAGCAATATTCCAGCTATATGACGGTCTGTAATAATTGAATCTGGACCAGACAATCCAGTGACCGATACTGCGGGCGACGGTCCATGCCAACGAGCACGATGACACACAATCAATCAAGTCACCGAGCATGAACACCCAATCCATTAAGGTGACTCTTACAACCAGCATAGGTTGCTGGGGAGCAATTCTAATCCCTAATCCTCACAGGTCTCCAACATTAAGCTGGCACCATGATATATCTAAAACACTGTACAACAGGGGACAGAGGCAGGGACAGAGACAGAAACAGGGGACAGAGGCAGGGGACAGATACCATGATGTATCTAAAACACTGTACAACAGCCGGTCATAAACACAACTTACTCACTTACTCACTGTATCAGTAATCAATAAACATGACAATACACGGGAAGCGATTCCGCTAAAATGTATGGCATGTTATATTATTCTTATATTCCATACCAAATATCAACTATTGCTGTCACTAAATAATATATGTCCTGTATAAATATTACTCCCATGTAATAATTTATAAATGAAAAAATCGATTAGTTTGTCTTTTATGTAGGAACTTCTCTCTTTATTTCATGTTATATCACGTCTTCAAATTCAAATTTATGAAAAAAAACGTGTGGAGGTTAGTCATTTCCTGTGCCCTGGATTTGGGTTGTCATTCATAATCAGACAGTTTCAGCTGGCACCCGGCACCCCAGTGGAGTCACTCGGAAACTTGTACAACTTACAACTATCATGTCAGTAACATTGTTTGGTAGTCATTTATAGGTGAAATTTCAGAGCTGCTTTTTCAGCACATATATTTTTTTTTTAAATACCCAAATAAGACGCACATTATCTTGTTCTGTGAAGAGGGGCACTCCCAACACAGATTTCAGCTAAGAATGCATTACATGTATCAGAGACCATATACCGATATATGGTCACTGCATGTATCATTAAACAAGAATAGACTACTTAAAGAGCCAAACTTAACATACAAGGAATACTTCAGAGTGCAAAGAGAGATATCACAATATATTTTTTATATTTCATATGAATAAAAAACTTGCATTACATTATCACTACTCTTGACAGTGTATTGAAGGAGGTGTCCATGTGAGGAGCTTTGGGAAATACATAGGCACATGAAATACGACTTCCCATCTGGCTTAGCAGTAGATCATTTCCAGTCTGATTTTGTACCTTTAACAGATGAAACACATCTCACGAGGCAAGGGAGTTGACTGACTATTAAAGCCCAGTTTCCACCCTTGCCAAACTTGGCTTGTATTTTGGAGTTATGTTTTGGCTGGACTAATGAGTCTATGCATATTCGAATCAAAATCGTGTAATGAAATCGCCGTCGGGTTGGTAAACTGGCCTATAGATTCTGTTAATTGCAGGATTTGCAAGGCATGTGTACGGCCAACTTGGCGTCAGGATATATTTTCTCAGGGAATTTGTTCAATGTACAATTTTTATCTGTAAAATAAACGACAAATATATACAGAACTTTCTTATTGTTCCTTATAAATGGATTTATGTGTGATGTCTGATGCAATGTTCAATTTAAATCCCATGTAAGTTCTAGTTAAGTCCCATGTAAGTTCAATGTTTGTTCTATGTAATTCCTATGGCATTTCTATTTAAGTACTTGATAATTCAGTGTATGTTCACTGTAAGCCATGTAAGCTCTGATGAAGTACAGTGTTTGTTCTATATCAGAATAGGTCTTCAGCAACCCATGCTTGCCGTAAGAGGCGACTAACGGGATCGGGTGGTCAGACACGCTGACTTGTTTGATGCATGTCATTGTATCCAACTGCATAGATTGATGACCATGATGTCAATCACTGGATTGTCTGGTGCAGACTCGATTATTTACAGACCGCCGTCATACAGCTGGAATATTGCTGAGTACGGCGTTAAACAACAAACAAACAAACAAACAGAGAGAGAATTAAATGTTGTGTTCCTTTTAATAAAGAAGTTGACATCCATAAATTCTCTCTCCCATGTGTATCACTTCTAAATGCCATTCAAAGACTTGTCAGTTCTGTTTAAGTACTTTTTAATTCTGGTTCAGTTCTGTATTATATCTATATATGACATGAATAATTACGCTATTTCATTTCTACAAACATACACTGATACAGACATCTGCAGTGGAGTCTGGGGATGAGGTCAAGATGAAAAGGGTTGTACCTGTGCTTGCAGTCTGTCTGCACATGCAGTGGTTCTCTATCGGCCTGTGTCTACCTATATTCTCAATAAGACACAGGTAATTTATACCACCTTGGCAGAGATGACTCACCTGTATATCTAAGTAGGTAAAACACTGATGCTGTGATCAGATCAGGTAATATTTACCTTTGCCAGGTACGACTGATTCATGCCGCCTATGAGAAGGGTTTTAAGTGATCGTCTTAATCATTTTCTGTACAACTGATCTTATGATATTTAAAGGGATTTTTTATGTTGTGATTTATAGAAATAATGAATATGGATAGCTTTGATAAAAGTGTTTGTGTGTTTTGTTGGTGTGTCATTGTCACTGCTGAGTTATGGTGGCCAGACACCAAGTCTTCCTCAGAAGTGTTTAACAAGGGAAGTTTTTATTAGTATTTACTGTGGAATAGTAAGGTGAATCATGACATGACATCAATAGGTGTCTGGGGGTGGTGTTGGGTGAGGGGGGTTGGGGGAGGGGTATGTGGGTGTGGGTGGAGGAAGGGGTATGTAGGGTGGGTTGGGTGAGGGGTTTGTGGGTTGGGGAGGGGGTATGTAGGGTGGGTTGGGTGAGGGGTTTGTGGGTTGGGGAGGGGTATGTGGGATGGGTTGGGGTGGGGGAGGGGTACGGGGGGGTTGGGGGAGGGGTTTGTATGTTGGGGGAGGGGTGTGTGGGGTGGGTTGGGTTGGGGGAGGGGTATGTGGGGTGGGTTGGGTGAGGAGTTTGTATGTAGGGGGAGGGGTATGTAGGGTGGGTTGGAGGAGGGTGATAAGGCTGTGGGTTTTGGCAGGGGTATGTAGGGTCGGTCAGGTTGAAGGAGGGGTGTGTGGGGTGGAGGAGGGGTATGTGG